ATCTAAACTATTTACAAAGGTAGCTGGTACGTTTTAGTTGTATTAAGGAGGTGAGCCAGAGGTGAGTCAGAGGTGGAGGCTGGAGTGTAGTTTGGGGGATAAGTGAGACGCAACAGGTCTTGGGCTGTGTTGTTGGATTCTTTATCCATTGTAAAAGATGGGGAAATACCCAGGCGCTCTTCAGTCACCTTCAAACGCACATTATTTCGTATGTTGACTCGTTTTTGAATTAGATAAACAGAGTGGTGAAACCGTTCCTTAAATCCACTAGGCTCAAATGGAATGTCAGGGATGTTCAAGCAATAGGGGTTAGGCATGGGTTGAGACTGCGCTAATGTTCTCTTATGTGACTTGCGCGGGGGACATTTCAAGAGTTGATGATCAAAGATAATATTCTTAGGGGAATCAAAGGCGGTGAGCTTCTTGTTTGGGAGACGGAGCGAGAAGAACTTGTTGGGATATGCCCTAAAGATATACTCGAAGTGTTCCCCTACTTCATCACGCAATCTCCTAAGAATGATGCATTTACTCAGATAATCCTCCCCAACATAGTCTATTCTGCTATCATGGTCGCACTTGCTCAAATCAGCATTGGAAGCAGAGAAAATAGGATGAAGAATAGTGTTGTAGTAAAGGTCAGGGTTAGGGGTACTCTTGGCCCATGGCCTAACCCGATTTAGCTCCCTGAGGAAAACGCACCCCAGGTTGACATCACTGAAGTCGGAGGTGAAACGCTCCCCATTCTTCTTCCTGATGAAGCCCTTAACTCCTTGAAACAAAAGAGCCAACACCTCAACCTTAACCTGGTTGTTGTCATACCTAGCAAAGATTGTGTTGCCCAGCAGCTTCTGAGCTATTCTAAGGACAGAGTTTTTGATCAATGTCCCCTTTGTGGCACCATCCTTATAAGGTCCACTGCCGATTAAAGCTCAAAAGTCAACAGCTTCATGGAAGGTTGGAAAGTCATGCAAAGGGCCATCATTGAAATTGTAGGCTTTGCAGACTTCAAAGACAGAGAGAGTGTGTAGCTGTTCTTGAATCTTGAATGTGAGCCGGCCTTCACTTGGTTTCTTTTCTCTCGGTCTATTGTAGCGAAATTCCATTGTGGCAAAGAATTTATTTACAGCAGATTTGTAGTGAAATTCTTGTTAATTGAAGAAAAACCCTAGTCCCATGTTTTTCAGCACTATCTCCAAATATTCATAGAGTCCCAACTTTTGCATGAACCTGTGGTGGACAAGCTTAGAAGGTAGAACTCTAATTCGAGCGAGTCTGGAGTATTCTTGCTTTTCTTCGTCTGTACAAGCCACTGGAATCTCATATTGTGGCTCCTCAGGCTCAATTGTGCCTTCAGGCTGGAGTTCCGGCTCCTTTTTCTTCCCGGTTCTTGCCCTGCGAGATTTATTCTTCAGGGTGGGCGGAGTTTGCCCACTTGCTACCCCTGGTTCTTGCCTCGCCCTCTTCTTTGATGACGAGCTTTTGCAGTGCTTACTCTTAGCTGCTTCAACTCTGTTTGATCTACGCTTATCGGTCATTTTGTTGAGCTGATATCCCCTGAAAGAACAGAAGATTGTGTTAATTTAGGTTATACACCCAGAAATCTGAATAAGGGAGATTGTGAGAGCCCCGGAATGATGTAAATCAAAAGCCTTATGCGTTTCAGAAAATTCGAGGTTACGAGCTGTGGGATCTCCTTAATGTACGAATAAGAAGAGAGGAGGAAGGGTAGGGAAAGAAAAGGGAGATAGTCAAGTGGGTGAGACCGTAAATTCACAGCAAGAAATTAGTACGAGACAACCAAAATAAACCAGAACAAATTAATGAACCCGGGAAGATAAAACCTGGTTTAGCTGAATGGTTTCTGAAATGGGCCGGTCCCTCTCGATCTGCATCTGTATTGAGAGAGCACGTAGTCGTTACACACCGACTCCGTGCTCTCGCCTCAGTTATGTGGTGATTAGAGTAGTTTATCGGTTAAACCCATCGGTTCAAGCCGATAAATGATGCTAGACCGAATTCTTTCTTCCGTCTTTCCCTCTTAGTCTCGTAAATATTGAACTCGTCAACACCTGCTGCTAAGAAAAAGGTAATGTCGAAAACAAAT